AGTGTGAGAATGGATCATAAACATACTCACTTCCACACCACTCCCCTTGCCTTCGCACTCACCGTCTCTTGCTTCCTCTGCATCGCTTTGCCATACTCCCACTCTCAACCATCGCCGTCGCCACCGGTTTGTGCAGAGCAGTTATACCGGTGCAACATAAGAGTCTCCGCCATCTTCGATCCTCCCCGGGAAAAGATTCCATCCTCTCAATGTAACGGCGCCGACTCATCATCCCTGCTCAGCTGCCATGCTTCTTATGGTAATGTTCCAATTGAATCTCAAAATTTCACAGTGAAGGATATCGACAACACCACTCACACCATGAAAGTGATGCTAAGAGCCCCTGTCAACCATGTCTGTTCTCCTCACTTTTTTGACGGCTACCTGAACCTCGATTACGAGAACTTCAACAACACTCTGTTCCTGCATAACGCGCCAGTGCATAAAGTCATCATATACGAAGATTGTCCTAGAATCCCAGATTTCCCTTCAAAACGCAACTTTACGTGCGGGGATGTTCTGTATTATTTTGAAGAGGGGAACACTGAAAAGGAGATGCTCGACACATACCCACCGCTTAAGGGTTGCAAGGGGGGAATTTTTGACGTGCCTGCTGCCGGTCCTCTGGATCGTTACAATGATACTGATGACGGTGCTGGAGTTCTGGAAGAAGCTCTCAATGATGCGTTTGAGGTCAACTATAGTATTATTCCTCATGGTTGCACAAGATGCAGAGAAAGTGACGAAAATTGCTCGCCATATCGGCATGATCATGATGAATATCTAGTTTCATGCAAGTACTATTGCCCAAATGAACAGTGTTCTCCAGAAAAAAGTAAGTCTTCTCTCTGTTTTTTCAATTTTCCCTTGTCGCCTCTCATGTCTTCCATATCAATGCCACAAAATCCTCTTTTTAGGTACCCACTTCCCATCCTCGCTCTGTAATCCATTACTATCGTTTAACCAGCACACATTTTTCATTCGACAATTAGGACAAAATTAGTACAACAAACACTGCAATTCGGCCAACCCACTCTTACTCTCATCCTCAAATTTTCAATCTTCACCACCCACTCACCGATCATCACTTCCTTTTTATTTTTTAAAAAAATTCTTTTTTTTCTTCACAAATTATCATCTTTCTTTTACAATGACTTAT